TTGCTAGGGACTTGCCCGGCACTTGCTCTCTACCTCTATTTGTTATCTTACTTCTATCATTGACAGTCCCTCTAGGTTGTGGGCTGCTTGCCTGTGTTCCTGAGAAGCATCTATGGTACCAGTCTATAGAGTGTGTTTTCTTTAGTGAATTACCGGTATGTTTACCGGTAATAAACTTGCACTGTTTTATGTATATGTTTGATTACATACAGCCTTGTGACAGTTTTCCTGCATGTCATAAGCATTTGAATATAAATTAAAATGTTAAAATCAAATCTGATATTGTTTTACCTTTTATTTGGTGTGTGGAAGGTGTGCGGAAGAGGGGGTAGTCTTATACGGCGAGTATATAACAAACTCTGTATTTTGAGTGGAAATGTTAGGGGGTCGTCTTATACGCCCAGTCGTCTTATACGCCGGCAAATACGGTACTTTGGATATTAACTTCTTATTGGAGGTATTATTTGCATATATCTCCTCCTAGTTGGTTGCTTGCCTTTTGTTTTGTTGATAGTTTCTTTTGCTGTGCAGAAGCTATTTAGTTTGATATAGTCCCATTCATTTGTTCTTGCTTTTATTGCTCTTGCCTTTAGGATCAAGTTCATAAAAACACCTCTAAGCCCAAGGTTCATATACTTAATAGCTATTTTTTCTTCTATGTTTCAGTTCTTATATAAAAGTCTTTAATCCATTTTGAGTTAATTTTTGTGTGCAATGTCAAATAGCAATCTAGTTTCATTCCTTTGCATGTGGCTTTCCAATTTTCCCAGCACTGTTTATTGAAGAGGCTTTCCTTTCTCTATTGTATGTTTTTGGCTTGTTTGTCAAAAATTAGTTGCCCATATATGTGTGAGTTTATTTCTGGGCTTTGAATTCTGTTCCATTGGTCTGTGTGTCTCTTTTTTTCTGCCAATACAATACTGTTTGATTATTATAGCTTTGTAGTATACTTTGAAGTCAGGGAATGTGATACCTCTGGCTTTTCTCTCTTTTTTTCTCAGGATTGCTTTGGCTATTCAGGGCCTTTTATGGTTCCATACAAATTTGAGGATTTAGGTTCCATTTGTTTGAAAAATGCCATTGTGATTCTGGTGGAGATTACATTAAATCTATAAATTGCTTTAGGTAACATAGCCATTTTAACTATGTTGATTTTTCTAATACAAGAACATGGAATATCATTTTATTTTGTGTGTGTGTATGTCCTCAATTTCTTTCAGCAATATCTTGTATTTTTTAGTGTATAGGTTTTTCACTTACTTTGTTAAGTTTATTCCTAGGTATTTTATCTTTTTTGTGGCAATTACAAATGAAATTGTTCATTTTTTTCTGATATTTCATTGGTAATATATAGGAATGCAACAGATTTTGTACATTGATTTTGTATCCTGCAACTTTACTGTATTTTTCTTTGTTTCTAATAGTCTTTTGATGGACTTTTCAGGTTTTTCTTATATAGAATCATGTCATCTGTAAATAGTGACAGTTTTACTTCTTCAATCACAATTTGGGTGGGCAGGCAGTAGGCTGGGATTTCAGGATCACAAGGAAGACTTCAACTGAATCTGTAGGTTCTATTTCCTGAATTGAAGGGTGGCATCACCAGTATTTATTTTATTAATATGCTATATTTTGTATCAAATATTGTATTACATTTTAAAAGAAAAATGGTTTATATTTTGAACTGATTATCAAGAATTGCTAAACCTAGATGCAAGGTTCCCAACCCATTGGTAGTGGAGGTTAGCTCTGTGTGAAGCTGAGTTTATACACTGCCACACCTAAGTACATGGTAGCGGTCAGAGAACACACTAGTCTCTCCTTCCCCTCCCCTGTGCTGGGAACATCACGTTCATAACTTCCTGGTTTCTATCTGACCATCATTGGAATTCTAAACCCAACAGCTGTCCATGTGGTACTGAGACAGCTGTGAGCATTCTTGTGGTATAACTGTCATGTCATTAACACAGGAATCAAAGGACCACTACACTGTTTTGTAAAGCAGTGGGGGGCCCCTTTCATTATCACTTCGTTTTCAATTATACACATAAGTCTGGGATCAAAAGTTTGGTGTAATACAAGACACTCCCCTGTTAATGTGATCATCTATAGTTGAAATGAATAGTATATTAGGGCCGAGCCTGTCTATTTCATTATTTGAATAAACCACAATTTATTTACTCATTCTACCATTGGTAGATATTAGGTTCTTTCCTATTTAGGGCATTATGCTTATTAAAATCAATCTTAATTTCTTGAGATATTTAGTAGATACAAATGCAGTAATATAGCTTCCTCAGTTCTTGAAATGCAACCAAGCCCAGGAAGTAAACTTCAAAATCTCTAAGAAATACCCCCCGAATTTAATTAGCATTTCCTATGATTCAGCTTGGCTAATAAAACTATGTATCCGTGCCATCAGCCCAAGAAAGAGAAACATCTGAGAACAAGCATTTGTTTCGGCTTTTTTTATTCACCTTATAAACATGGATGGTTGTTGCTTGTACTTTTCCCACGGTTTTACATCACTTGAGAGATCTGGAGATGAAAGGCATCAGTGTGGAGTGGTCTGAGGATAGATACATGGCTAGACCAGGTGGACGAGCACCACTGAGCCACTTTCTCTAGCCTGAAATATTCCAATAGTGTCTACATGTATGTGTGTACATTCAAGTGCCCATATGTACCATCTAACCTTAAATATGCTTATGGAAAGCCATCTACTCCGTTTCTCTTCTTTCCTACAGGCACTCTCAGTATTACATCATTTAGATGACTGGATTTGCTCAACTGTATTCTATGCCATTGAAGGCTATTGTCCCCGGTTCTTCTAGCTCTACTTCATTCTTATAGTTAACCAAAGAGTCTAAGAAAATTAGTGTAGTTTGGCTTTGCCTGGTTTTGACCTTTTATGACCTTTGTATGTAATGTTTTGTCACTTTTTTTTTTACGTGATAGTGTTTGTAGGACCCATCCATTTTGTTGTGTGTAACTCTACTTTATACAGTTTCATTGCTACATAAAATCCTGTTGTGTGGACATAACACTGTGTATCCACTCTG